AGCAAGCAAGAAAAAAGGAAAGAGAGGAGAGGCTTACGGTTGACATCTGCCCTGAGATGGTTGATGCCTCGTGAAAATATCACTGGGACAACAGCCCCTTAATCCTTGAACTTTTGGTGGCGGTCCTGTTACGAAAGCTGTGACGCAGACAGGATAGAGGGCAGCGGCTGCCAAAGCATCGAAACGTGCAAAAAACGTATGGCGAGCCAGGAAGCGGGATTTTTCAAGGGGAGGGGACTCCAGGGTGGGTGAGCCACTTACCATGTGTGAAAAGCTGGAATATGTAAGGTCACAATGACCACAGAATGCAACAAGGACGAGAGAGTGCAGAGAAAAAGAGATGATCGACGCATTCAAAGGGATTAAATTCAAGTTGTCCGTAGACCGAATCGCCTCCGCTCGAACTCTTATGCGTTTCGCTGACCTAGGTCGACAAACCAAGACGCATCAAAAATCCGCTTTTACCGTCACGCGATGCGCCGTGCGCGACAGCGCCCCGTCTCCGATTCGACGCTGATGTGAATGAGAGTAATAGAAGGGGGCTGATCTAACACTAATTTTAGGATTGTTTTCCTACGGTTGGTAGAAGAGACGTTGGAACGACTGGAACTTTTGTTGTTCGCCAACTAAGGCCGCGGTCATAGTTCGCGATCCGATCGCTAGCTTTATCGTTCAATCGTAGGATTACGAAGTATGAACGTACTCACTCCTGAACCGCAAGATTAGGCATGTGCTGATTAGGGCTGCGTCCAACCGATTGAAATCTTATCACAGTGCCATGTTATGACTAATCAATTAATTCGTATGTAATCCTTGTCGTGGTTTCTCCAGCTCTACAGGTCGGAGAGGGTTACACTTATCAGCAACCCAGTTACGAGGCATGCTAGTGTTGCGTTCATTTTGGCGCCGCCAGCACGTTTTCCAGCAGGCATTGAGACGAGATTGGTGAAAAATGAACTGGAGTTCTCCACGAAGAAGAGATTTGTAGGGCTTCTTGTTGTTAAACGGGGATCGTCGTAGAGCGTCGTAGAGAAACCCCTCTTGGAACAGCGAAATTGACTCAACTACCACGGAATTCTTTCTCCAAAGGTGATGCAAAACAGTGAACTTCTTGCCGCTTGGGAAATTCTTGGAGAATACGACTAGCTCCCCCCCCCCTCCACCCAAATTTCTAGTTCCCTCATCTGGTACGACCCCATCACCATATCATCTTTCGTCCCTACTTCCTCTCCCTTTTCCAAGAATTTCGGAGTTTTTTTAAAAAACTTTGCTGTCGAGCGGGGTACAGAGAAAAAAACCTCACTCCATACGACGATCTTTGTTTTGCGGAGGTGTCTTATGAATACCAGCGTACTCGCGCCCAAATGATTTTTCCGATGTAAGAGACCGACAGTAGCTTGTGTTCTCATTCATGTAGAGATTTAAACAATTCGTCGGCCGTTAAGTCGGCAATTTTCCCTATTCTTTTATTTTGCAGCAAGTTCGTCCGCGCAATGTCTGGTGGATATGGTGATGGTGTAGGAAAAGTGGTTCGTCTTTTCATGGAGGCTCAAGTCTGTCTTAACGGTAATTCATCTAGGAGGCGGCGGTGGCGGTTCCATTCGTGATGCTGGAGGTGCTTTCGGTAAAATGGAAGCCGCTAGGGAGGACGAGTACTTTTACAAGAAGGTAAAATGACCTATCCACAGCTTTTCTGCAATTTTAAAGTCAGCTCAATGAAACATATTTCTTTTTGTTCAGAGGCTGGGTTGACGTAAATGCTGTTTTTGCTGCAGATGCTAGGTCAGCATCAGCCTGTTTTCCACCAAATGTTGCAGCTTGTCCGCTTACAATTGGTGGAAAACGGACTATCGTCGCGCCAAATCTTTTCAGTGACACGCCCCAGCGACTGCAGCGAAAACGGCCGTAGTGTTAATGCCAAAAAAACTTGATATATGGATGTGCTCAAGAATTTTCGATGCATTATTGTGCGCTATTCAGCAAAAGCAGCAAATTGAGGAGCTGAAGGCGCAGCTTCAGCAGGAGATTGAACATCATGAGAAGCAAGTGGAAAGCCATAAAGCGGTACGTCAGCCTTTTCTTTGTTGCTCTTTTCTTGAAATGTACGGAGCTTGCGTTCTGCTTAGCAGACGTTTTGAAGCGTTGACAATCGTTTATCTGAGTGATTGATGCCTGCTGTTTTTAGGTTCTGGAGAGACATCGACAGCGTGTGAAAGAGCTTGAAGAAACGGCCAACAAGCAATGATCGCCATTTTTTTCATGTGCGATGAAGATGAAAGTTCCTAGGCTTCTCTAATAAGTTCGGTTGTCATGTTGCATTACAGATTGACTACGGTCTTTTCATATTTGCAGGTTTTATAACTTATCCAAATGATGTAGCTTTTATGCATGTAATGAAGTTTTAACCGGTTCCCTTTGAAGAATGTGAATAGGGCCAGAAACAGGGAATCTAACAAATCATCAGAGGCAAATTGTACCCTCACTTCAACAGGATCCTGTACCTCATGTGTAAGGTAAGTGGGTTCACAGTCGTGCCAGTTTCCCCGCTCAAAAGTACCCGGGAACGGGCGGGAGGATAATAATACCTGGACGCCCTCTGCCCACCACCCCAGCGCTGACGCATCGCCAGCCACACACCTAACCATAGCCAAACATGATAGTTGTCTGCGCCCTCACACATCTGATTGTTCTGCTCTGAATGGTTGGGGGGAATTTAGTATCGACGCAAGAGCTGCACACTGAGGACAGAGGACGGAGTCCAGAAACGGCATCGGGGTATAACTACCCTCCAGCCTCTTTCTCGTGCACTCCAGAGCGGAGAAAGTGGCACGCTACTGCAACTGCATACCCATTCACTTCGCACATGGGAGATACCATCCTCGAAGGTGACTTTACTGTATTTATTCAACAAAACTGAACTAGAAGCGCAACAGTCAGTGAATTCTTTATGAAATTCAGGACATTATGGTTGCACAGATAATATGATTACAGGAAACATACCAGCATGCTTGCCCGGGAACCTACAAAGAATTTTGTGAGATGAACATTTCAACGACAGCTCTTAGATTTACATCCATTTTCCATTACATTTGGTAAAGGGAATCGTCTGCGTTCCATGCTTATTCGGTAACTGAGTCTTTATACAGTGGTTCCAAAAAAATTGCAACCTGTCAAAAATCCACTTTCTGGCGGTTCGTGCTCCAATGAACTTTGATTTGGGCATGAGAACTCTGCCATTTCACGTGACTTATGTCAGAAAAAAAAAGTAAAAAATCAAAACAGAACGGCTATCAAGAGCACGTCACGCGCTCACTGGTTTTCGTCGTCAAGAGGTCAACAAACCGGTGCACTTGTGTGTAGCTCATGCGCAAAAACCATCGACCTCACCGAGCACCATGGGAAGTGTTAGATTAGTGAACAGCAAGGAAAAAGTGTTTTTAATCATAAATGAACTGTCCCATTCGTTTCAAGGGAATGGTGCGAATGCGCTTAGGCACCCTCTGAGACCTTTTGAAACCCGTGAGAGTAATCAAGTGGAATGGCAATCGGAACAACTCTTTAAAGCTCTTATTTCACGATGCGAGAAGATGAACGAGCTTTTTGGGTGGCTGAACCGTTACCTAAACATTGGACGCTGAGTCCGTTGCTATTGTTGCGTTTCTGTTGATATTTCCCCTGTTGGTTCAAAGTTGAATACAAAGTTAGCACAGCTGAAAATGTGGAGTTATAGTTGTCTGCACATAGGTGCGCTACAGCGCCCCAGATAAACCGTGAACTGGTAGGAGCAAACATTAAAGAAGAATACAAATCGGGAACTCCCATTTACACCAATGGTAGCTCTCTGGACTTTAATTTTTAACAAGTCACGGTATGTAGGACCATGATCTTCAGCTAGCTCCAAAACGCACAGATATTCTGCTCTTTCTGCAGGTCTGATGACAGGGATAGAGCTATCTCGTTTCGCGGAAACCTTGAATACCTTGGTTCGTTAAGTTCTGTTCACTTTAGAACATCGCAAAGATAACGAAGTGGTGCTTCCCTTGCTCGAATAGCCCACTACTTCAACTCATTTTTAGGTCTCCCGATGAATATGTCAGTGTTATCATGCCTCCCAGA